ACTACAGCTGACAATTAAGGGGAAAGCTAGCAAACTACAAAAGTCAGTTTCATGGTTCATTCAGATACATTCCTGAGACTCTGGGCTTATTAGCTTTTGAGGTCATGAATAAATCTATATACATTATTTCCAAAGGCCATCTAGGTACCTTCACTTCCCCTCAGTCATACCCAAAAATCAAATGTTTACAACCATAAAATGAGATCTTTTGGATTGTGCCAAAGTCGTCCAGGCTATCTCTAGGTATAGGACAATGAAACCCTAACATATAACTCAGTCCCTCGCCAATCCCATAAATGTCCTTCCTGACTCTCAGAAGTTCAAAATATTAAGTGTAATGCTGAAATAGGAAGCTAGTCAAGATACAGATGTTTCTTTTTTTCTTTTTACAATGTTGTGCTGGCTTTTTAAAAAAATCCCTTTAGGGTCAGAGAGAACATGAAACAGGCCATGAAACTTCTCAGAAAATAACTGAAAACAGAAAAATGTCTTTCAATATTTTCATGTGACTATTTCTTTACATACTGTTTGGGGCTTGAAAGGTGGCACTGAATGTTTGCTGGTGAATTACTGACCACTGTGAAGAAAAGAAAACCTATTCCCCCTGCCCCTGAGATATGTCCTCACCATTCACTGTTTTAGAAGCAAACAAGAGTTTGCTTCTAAAGAGACTGCAATTGGTTTCTAGGAATCCATGTTAGAAGAGTTAGGAGACAGAACAGATTAAGGTAGAAAACAAGGAGACAAACAGACTAAGAGACTTTATAATATTTTTACTAGGCTCTGAAAGAAATACACTACTCTGATTTATCACCAGATGCCTTTTTACTTTTTTCTGTACAATCTGTGGTAACCTTCCAAAAGTCGTGTAAGGCAACAACTGAGGGCCCTCACCCATACCGTTCTCAGAAATACGTCAGATCTCAAAAGTCACCAAAAACTCCAAGGATTTTATTTTCACTTTTAATTATCTTTTACTTAATAAAATGAAAAATAAGAATATATGAATACATACAATCTATATACATATATTTATTGCAAATACTTAAAATTCTTAAGTAAAATGATTTTTTCTATATTATTTGTGAAAAAATATGACTTTTAAATGGTGTCGACACCAACTTCTCTGTACATACCCTCAATTCCAATGTTAACAATTCCTTTAAAAAGGCAAAAGACACAAAAGCTTAGCATTTACCAAACCAGTCTGTACAAACCTTGTAGCCAGAAGGGGGAAAAATAAGCTTGTGGTAAATAGGTCAATTTCTTTTGAAATAAAAAATAAACCCCAAAACTATCCCTCTTATTGCATTCCGTGGAAGTAATCTGAGAGACTTTAGAGTAATTTCCTTTGAAATAATCTGTGCCTTAACAGTAAATTCTACAATTAACATACCATATACGAGAAATCCAAGTATTCCACTGTCGCTTTTTACATAGATATTAAAATATATATTACTCAAAATATATTACTGGAAAGCTATTTTTAAAATTGATCTTTAATAGTTGTATCAAATGTAAAGCATTAAAAAAAATAAAGTAACCGAGAATCTCTGAAGCTATTACTTCAACCTTAGGAAATACTTTACCTATTGTTCTTTAGTCACTAGGCATATAGGTACTGAAACATGGCAGGAAATCACCCTGCCTATCATGTCTCCCAGAGTCTCTTTGGACTATTCTATTAGGTGAGTTGAAAAATACCCTCAGACCAAGTTTTTCCTTAGCATTTTGCAGTTATGCGATAGGGGACTTTTCCCTCCTTTCCACTATGTGAAACTGCTAGGTCACAGAGAAAACCACCCTGGCACTGTTTGATGACAGTGAGTACAGGAAATGCTTATCTTTGTAATGATCAGAGAAGACCCTCTTCATTATAACAAATAATCCCACCAAAGAGTTCTTTATGGATCTCCAAGAGCATAAGAAGCAACTGAGATGGTTACTGTCATGAGTTTACACCTTCCCCTGGAAGGCAAAGAGGTCTTCCTTTGGTTATTTAAATAGGATGTTTAAGTCTTCAAATATCTACATCTGTGTGCCTGCCCAACCCATGTAACTGAGCTCCCCACCGTCCCATCAGGAAACATTTCTCACAGTCCAGCTCTTATACAAAGACCACTTCATTAACTTGGGCAAAAGATTATATTTACTTGGTTTTATTTTCTCATTGAATAGGATGAAGGATTTCAATCAAAATTCATTAAGATTCAGGGAGCCTTCTCTGTTAGACAGCTTAGAACAGTTCTAAGTAAGACTGAGATGATACACTGTTAATGCTATCTCCCCCAGGTGACCTGCAACAGAGGTATGTAAGTCTCGAGAAGGGTACGCTGCAGGCTTCTGCCATCAGGCACACAGCCTGACTAGTCACTGGAAGTAGTGCAACTCATATCATTCAGAGTCAGTTTAGCTTTTACTAAAAAACATTTCAGACTAAACTGAAAGGTAGACTCTGGAAACCTAAACACTGCTGTAAGGGTATTATATTAGAGTACCATACTCTAACAAGTTAATGATTTTATTTCTACTGCTTCATTTTTCAAAAGGACCACACTAATGATTTTTCTGTTTAATTCTTATGATGAGTGACTTTCTATTCCAAAACCACTGTAGTCCAAGTGACTAACAATCTATGGGAATCAAACTGTTCTCTCATTTGGTTAAGATTGAGGCAGGGTACCTAGTTGGAGATTTCTGTCTTAAGGGTGTTCCTAGATGAAAATATTTTATTATCTGAGTATCATTTATGAAGAGAATGTGGTGAAGAGTAATGCTTAGAATCTATCTACGGGAGTCTGGGTCAAGAAGAGGCACAATATGGTTTGCACTCAAAATGGTTTCAGAAATCCCTGATGCCTTTTCTCCTTTCCTAGCTACAGCCTGCCCATTCTGACATTAAGGGAACCTTCCATGGAAGACAGCCTTTGTAAGACAGGAAAGGAGCGAAGCAGAAAAGTCACTGTTATTTATCCAAAATGGTACTTTGCTAATTAACATGAAAACAATCCACCGCTTCCAGCATACACACTAGTTCTTAGCCCTGACACTTAAGTAGGGAGTGAAGAAGCTCAGCAAGGAATGGGGTTCCACTTCATCAACAGGTCTTTTTAAGGCCCTCCAGCACTACTCCTTAACCCTGAATCATTGTAGCCTTGTATTCCCTATCTATGAACGTGCTGGAAGAAAAGGGGGGTGATGGGAAGACATCTTATTATCATAGCTGAAAAAGGAAAGCAGATATTAATCTTAAAAAAAATTAAAATGCCAGAAAACAAATAAAAGAGAAAAATAGTGAAGTGAGTGTCTTAGGAGATTTGGCCTGGGGGCTTGTGAGAGCATTAGAACACGAGGTAGGGAGTGGTGGAAGCAGAAAGTTCAGAGACGCTGCAGACTGGGAGCAAAGCAATCATTATCTGTCTCTTTCTCCTATATGGAATGTGACTTAATCCACATATTTAAACTGTTGTGCATTTTGTAAATACCACACTCTGGATACTAAGTACAAATACAATTATGTAAGGTTGTTGTACTAGAATTTTTACTTTACACACTTGAAATTAGGAGACTGGAAATTAATATGCAAGTGATATAAACTGCTGATCTCCAATTTAAAACCAAATTCTGGTAAACTATAGATTTATTACTTTAATGTCCTTTAGTCATAACCTAAATATTATGTTCTCAAACTTTTTCCATCACTAGAGACAGATTTTAAAAACAAAAACTAAACAAGTCACAACAACAACAAAAGAAGCACAAAATGAAAAAACAAACACAAAACTTTGGGACTCGTTTCTTCTTCCTTTCTAGATATATCCTTCATCGAAGCCTCTTTAGATTAAAAATTTTAGTGCACAGACAGTCACAATCCAAAACCAGGGTCATATTTTCTAAAACAGGAGAAATTCCTGACTAGGACCCCCATCAATCTCCACAGGTGCCTGGGTAGGTTAGAACAGATTTATGACAGGATGGGCAAATGTGGCATTAATGAGTCTTTTTATCTGCAACAACGGGAACTCCAGAACACTGGGCTACCTTGCTTGCTTCTAGTGTTAAACTTGCTTTTACCAAAGTTCTGTTCACCATAACCATTTCTGCATGCTCATTCCATTGCCTTTGCCCAACAGCACGGGGCTCAAATCAGTGCATCACTTACACTTTTCTGTAAACTTCATACCAGTATTTCACATCTGTGTGGAAACTCCCATGAATGACCAAGTGCTTGGGTGGTATTACAGGAAGTGCCCTGCACAGTCACACCCTTCAAAGACCTCACACACTGACTCAGGGCAGGAGAGTGGGATTAGGAAACAGCCGGATTCACAAATTTAAAGCACAATGCTTGGCAACAGAGCCAAGTTAGGGCTTTCATCAGAGTCTGAAGCACTATCTGTGAAATGGATGCCTTATAAAAAAAATTTGGACTTAAGAAGGTTCCATTTCAAAGTAAAGGGACTGAGTAAACCCCTAAATCCAAATCTTTCAAAGTCTGAATAATCTATGTAGAATCTGTAGCCATACTGTCAAGACATAATCTGTGTGGGAGATCATTTCTGTAGACCATTCCTTCATTCGTTCTGTTTCCTAGCCTTTGAGAATATAGGTCAGAAGGGAGACAGCTCTATCACATTGAACTTTTCTCAGAGCCACATAAAGCTGAATATAAATCTGAATCCAAAGCAATACATTATTACCTAAACACTTGGGAAAACAATGTTAAAACAAAATGTGACATATTTACATGATTTTGTAAGTGCAAACTTGTCACAAATTCACAAAGTCTTGCTTGACTTAGACTTACTGTACAAGGTGCTCTTCCTCTAAAATGTAAAAGATCTGTACTCTGTATTCCTGATTAAGTAACATTTGTCTCTTAAGACAACTGAAACCTATTTATTTCTGTGATTCCAAAATAATGCAAAACAAAACAAAACACACATCTTGTTCACTCTTCACTCCCCCCCTCCTTTACAGTGTGTTCTTTCTAGTTTTCACTACCGAACAACAAGGCAGGAGACACACAGTTTGGAGGGGCCAATGCAATCGTCATGGCAGAAAGCACCACACCCTTTGCACATGATCATGGCTTTCAATCGGCAGTAACATTTTGAAGGCGTGTCCTCTATGCTGTTCTCTTCAGGAAAGGCCTGAACAGGAATGGTCTGCCCATGGCTGCTGGAATTCATAGCTTGGCTGGCTGGGATGGTAGTGACAGTCACTGAGAAGGACATAACATCACCTACATTGCTAGAGACCTGACTACAGTCAGACATACCCGGTACAGCAGAGCTATGGTCCATATCAGATGAGGTGGAGACGTTGATCATGCCTCTGTAGCTTGGCCCTATCTGTGTGGGGCTCCCATATAACTTTGGGGTTTGCAGTGGTGGAAGGAGCAGAGGCTTATGGGTGGGGCTGTCTGCAGGTATAGGAAGAGCAGTAGAACTGAAAAGCTCAGGGCTGCCACACATCATCTTACCTCTTACTGCATGAGCCATTTGCTTCTGTGCTGCTTGAATAAAATCTCTGGCTAGAGTCTTTTCATCGAACGCCTGGCCTCTAGTGAACACGTAATTCTCTTTGCTTAAAGTGGTTTGCTCATTCACTGTCTCTGCCTTCACATTCTTGTTAGCTAAGCAATCATTGGTGGATAGGGCTTCCCTACTGTGGAGCCTGGCTTCACACTTGTCGGAACTCTTGGAAGCTGGAGCCTCCTTCTTCACCAGGAGAGATTCCTGCTCCTCACCAGTACTCTCCTCATCAGTATCATCTTCTTTGCCACTGCTACTTTCTCCTGTTGCTTTTTTACTGTCTGTATATCCCATTTTCAAGGCCTCAGTTGGGCTACTTAAACAAAAACGGTCTTCAGGGTTTACAGAATGGGTCCTCCTAAAGCTCTCTGAAACCCTGCCATAGGTGGAAATGTTAAGTAAATAGTGGCCTGACATTGCAGGCTTTGATGTCCTTCTGCCAGCAAAACCCAGCATGAACCTCTGGCTTGTGGAGATGTCTTCAAACTGGAAACCTGAGTGAGCAAAGTTGAATTGATTGGGCTGTAGGACGGGGAGAACATTCTGCTTCTGAACCCTTTTGATGAGAGTTTGAAGGATCTGATCTTGGGTTGTTTTACTCAGTCCTTCTTGGTATGAGTGTGGGTCAGTGCTAGAGTCCCTACGATCTTTAGCTGAAAAAAGCTGATGGGTCCTTGGAATCGGGGGTAGCTGCATACTTTGCAATGTTTTACCCAGCTGTTGTACAGCCTCCCCTGTGCTACTTTCTGTTACGTTGGTTCCTATGGGTGCTCCTGCTCCTTTCTCCTCTTTAGTCAGTGGAACAGTTTTCATTTCAACTTTGGTGAGAGGTTTAGGAAGGATCTGCTCCATGGGAACATCTTTGCCCTGGAGTAGCTGAGTGACCAAAGGATTATTAGCAGGGATACTAGAATTTGGTCTGGCAATAGGCCCATCTATAGTTGCAGAAGTTCCTGTGGGTTTAAGGCTAGAAACTGCTGGCAGAGTGCTTGAGGATGGAGCTGATGCAGTAGGTGCTATGGTTGCAGTGACCTGGGGGAGAGGAAGCTTTTCTAAAGAGGCTGTTGTCAACACAGATGCCAGAGGAGGAGCCATAGCCACTGGGGCACTAGCACTTGCTTCTGTTGAGGTTGAAGGGTTTGGCATATTCTTACTAGAACCTGCTTTTGGCTCAACTGTGCCATCAGCCACACAGTGAACAGGTGAGGCACCTGAGATTAGAGCAGGGCCTAAGAGAGTAGGAGACACGTTCTCCTGTATGCAATTACTGGACCCTTGTGGGTGGCTTTGAGAGGCCACTGGGGCTGTTGTCCTGGTAGGGTTCAGTTTTTCACTATTCAGCCTCTCTAAAGCTGCTGGGGGTGGGTGAGTGTGGGCTGGTGATGGGACACTTGTGCAGGCTCCACTGGTGGCAGATGGAGGAGGCACTGAGGGGGTTTGCTGTAGTTGTGCTCCAGAGACACTAGGAGGCTGTGTCTGGCCAGGGTTCTTGGTCTCGGGTTGGGGCTGAGTCTCTGGACTACAGGGTAAAAGTTCTCTCGTACCTCCCCTGCTTCCAGTTCCTGCCAGTTCCAGTGTGGGGGCCCCCTTTCTAGTTTCATTGGCTCTGTCTGGGCCTGGACTCCCTCCCCTAGCAGTTTTCCTCTCACCACCCTCTCCGGGACCTTGTCCACCCCCTGGGCCAGGTCCTGGAATGGTCCCTCCAACTGTGGCAGCTGCAGCAGCGGCGGCGGCAGCTGCAGCAGCTGCCCTCTGTGCTTTGACCAGTTGGGCTTTTGCTTTGATGTCTGCAAGGGTTCTGGCTCCGGTTCTGTTAGGACTAATGAGGGAGATTGGAAAACGAGCCCTGGGAGAGACCTGCGATGTAGGAAATGGCACGAGGGAGATTCTGGAGACCGGGATCTGAAAGAAGTAGGAAAAAACGTTATCAGAGCTTAGCTTTCATTGATTAGAAAAACAAACTTCATAATCACCACTTAAGCATTTAGGGTAGGGTGAAGAATACAGCACCGTAAGGTCGCTATGGGTCGGAACCAACTCGATGGCACCTAACAATAGCTGGTCTGAGACAAACCATTGAGACAGCAACACAAATGTCTCATATTTGACCTCTACTGTTGCAAAAGACATTCCTCCCTCTCTAGGAATTTCTCAACGTCCATTTCTGCTTCAAATTCCCACTCCTCTCCTACACACAGCTCCCTTCTAATGCCAGTACTATTCTGAACTGGCAATTATTTAAGATTGAGGCCTATCTATCTGTGGTATCTGCGGTTTTAAACACGTTTGTGTGTGTGAAGTATGCGGTGTTCAGGTTGAAGGAGGAGAAGATTCTATCATTATTGTTTTTATGTCTTAGCTTTACTACCAAGATTTAGGTGGGAAAAAAAACACACAAAAACTTGTGGTGCCCTGAGTCCACACAGAGACACACACTGCTAAACATGGGCTGGATGATTTTAAATTAAAGATTGTTGTTGTTGTTATGTGCCGCGGAGTCGGTTCTGACTCATAGTGACCCTATACAGGGTTTCTGAGGCCGTAAATCTTTACGGGAGTAAAGAGGCTCATCTTTCTCCTGTGGAACAGCTGGTAGTTTCGAAAGATCCAAAGGTGCACATACTATGTCCAACTCTATGAAGTAGTTTATGATGTTAGTTTTAAACATCTGTACATGTTTACCCTGGTAATTTTCATTCCTGGTTTGAATTACCTATAAGCTATTCTTCACTATGTTATATCTATGACACTTGACATTTATGACAACTTTGAAAAAATTCTGATGGCCCAGGCCAACATGGAACCAAGGCTGGGCCAGGTAGCTCTCTATGAGGCCACCTTGAACTATATACTGAAAGACCCGGTGACGACTGGGTCACAGCAGGGATGGTGGCTGACGGGCCATGGGATGCCTTCTCCCTTCTGTCCATATGGTCTTGGCCCATGCAAAGGACTAAATAAGACTGTGGGTGAGCAGGAGAGGCTAAGCAGGGTGACCTGAAGGTGCTGGGGAGGTTGGTACGGGTAGGTGGGAAAGTGGGGAGAGGGAATGGGACTATGCAGGGTTGTGGGACACAGGATAGAAAGAATAGTGGGGTTCTAGCCCAGGACATCAACCCCTGCAGGCACTGTGGTGGTGGTGAAGGGGACCAAACGCATCCTGAGATGAACCAGAGGCAGTGAGAGAAGGGGGCAAGCACTACAGCCAAAGGCAGCTGGACTCTCTCATGATATCAGTTTGGCATAATGACCTGGTCTGTGGAACCTAACCATGCTGCTAAGAGAAGAGTAGGTGTACTTAACTTGTGGAGCATTCTAAGCTTATTTTAGATGCCCTGAGTCCTACCCTAACATTTACAGATCAGAACCGTGAGAAAGAGTATCTTATTTATTCTGATGTCCCATCAGGCTTGTAATCACTAATTATTATATCATATTAGATATCTCATTGTATCTGAAATCTATCTGATTTTTGTTATAACCAATATTTTGAAAACTACTGGAATTAATCACAGTGTATCAAGATCTAGATTGAGTCTCTTTAATTTAGAAGTTAAGTGCCACTGAGTCAGGTCTGACTCATAGTGATCCTGTATAGGGTTTCTGAGGCTATTAATATTTATGGTAGCAGAAAGCCTCATCTTTTGCCCACAAGGTGGCTGGTGGGTTTGAACTGTTGATGTTGTGACTAGAAGTCCAGTGTTTATCCTAATTTAGAAGTTGGTGACGACAGCTGTATGCCACACCAAGTCAGTTCTGACTCAAAGTGAACCTGATAGGGTTTCCAAGGCTATAAATTTTTATGTGAGCAGGAAGCCTCATCTTTCTCCCACAGAGCAACAGGGAGATTTGAACTACTGACCTTATAGGTTAGCACTCCAGTTTGTAATCCACTACTCTACCAGGTCTCCATTTTAGAAGTTGTTGTTGTTAAGAGAGGTCAAGTAGGTTCTGACTCAAAGCAACCCTGTATAGGGGGGTTCCAAGGAGCAGTTGGTGGATTTGAACTGCCAAGCTTTTGGTTGGCAGTCCAGTGCTGACCCACAGAGCCACTTTAGAAGTTCAATTTAGAAGTTACAGCTCATTAATTACGTAATGCTGTTGTTGCTAAGTGTCACAGAGTTGGTTCTGAATCATAGAGACCCTGTATAGGGTTTCTGAGGAGCAGCTGGTAGGTTTGAACCGCCAAACTTGCAGTTCAAATCAACCTTGTTGTCCAGTGCTTATACTACAGCATCATATTACAAAGTCTTATTTTACAAAATATGTAATTAATCCTTCTTTTAGAGCTGAATCTATTTTACATCCAAGCCTAAGAAGCCTAAACAGTATATTTACTATGTATAATTTTGGAAGGTGCTCAAAGAAAAACAGAAGCAATTATTGCCCATTGGTGACATCACCTAGAAAAGACTAGTAAATAAAGGGGCAAAAAACAGGCAAATCTAGAAAATTACATACAAGAAAAGCAGACTTGCTTATGAGTATTTCATATAAAGACAAACTATCTTACACACAAATTATCTTGAAAGTAATGCTATAGTTACAACAAAAATGGACTTTAGAGTGACATTATCACTAATAACACATTGAAATCAAATAGTGACAATCATTAAAAGTGGTTAAAGGTTAATACTCAAATATAACACAAATTAGTTTATTTCTGTAAAAAACTGAATTACCAAAGTATGCACAATAAATGACATGCTGTAACTTTTTTTAAAGTACAAGAAACTACTGAAGGTTGTCCAGGCACTGATAATGATTTATCTAACTGAGATAAATTAACTAAGCCTGGGACAGCAAAGAGATCAGATACTCTTCTTTTTAACTGAATACAGAATGGTCTAAAAATATTTTTTATTTATGTGCATATGGTTCATTCTTATATACATTACACAAAGCTAAATTATAGCATTTATAATAAAATTTCATGTTTGGTTTCTATTTAAATTTTGCTTTAAAAGGTTTGTTCTGTTATAAATTATATCAAGCTTTGTCTAAGGAAGTGGTGAAAAGTCTTTTAGATAGGAATGAAGACAGAGAAAAGAGTAACAATTTTTGCTAACTTATATTTTCAATGTTAAGTTTCTTGGGGTTAGGAAAAGGCACATAGACTATGATGGTATCCCACCTTTTTTAAGAAGAGGTTATACATCGAGTGTCACTTTTAGTAAAGTCTAAGCTATGTTGTTGTTGTTAGGTGCCATCGAGTCGGTACTGACTCGATGGTATATAGTATGGTATATAGGTATAGTCTAAACTATACCTTAGTTAAATTCGAAGTGGCATTCATTAAGAATTTAATAAGGTTTCTCATATTTTTATAAGAATAGCAAAATTGATCATTAAAATCAGAATCTTTGACATAGGAAGAGAGTGTAGTCAATGTTAAAAAAGATACAAAGAAAAAAGTCCTAAATACTGAAAACTAAGGAATGAAGAATGCCATGCATTAGTAATAAGTACAGTGAGAACGAAAAGCCACAAAGTACATGAAATTAAGGAAGTTACATGAAAAGGGGAAAAATGGTATTTCTATTTGGCTTGTGAGTTGCTATGATTCTGAAAGCTATGCCACTGGTATTTTAAATACCAGCAGACTCATCCATGGTAGACAGGTTTCAGATGAGCTTCCAGACGAAGACAGACTAGGAAGACAGAGTGATGAACTACTTCAGAATATTTAGTCACTGAAAACCTATGAATAGCAGAGAAACACTGTTAGATATAGTGCCAGGAAATGAGCCTCTCAGGTTGGAAGGCACTCAAAATGCGACTGGGGAAGAGTTGTCTCCTCAAAGTAGAGTTGACCGTGATGACACAAATGGAGTAAAGCCCTTGAAACCTTCATTTGCTGAGGGGGCACAACTCAAAATGAAGAGAAACTGTTGTAAACATCCATTAATAATCGGAACATGGAATGTACAAAGTATGAATCTAGGGAAATTGGAAATTGCCAGAAATGAAATGGAACACATAAACATCAATACTTAGGCATTAGTAGTGAGCTGAAATGGACTGGTATTGGCCGTTTTGAATCTGACAACCACATGGTTTATTATGCTGGGAATGACAAATTGAAGAGGAATGGTGTTGCATTCATTATCACAAAGAACATAT